ACTCTAGCTGAAACTCCTACTGCTTATATATCTTTCGATCGGTCTAATTGAGCTATTTTTAGTCGCTATTTCTAATATTCTATTACTGCTTCTCTGGTATAGATTTATTTGTGTTTGCACGCTTCAGTGGTGGGTGCAGCAGTGGTGCTGTACAACCGTAATAGAAATTCTCGTACCACTGCTGTCACCGAATTCCGCAGCCGCGCTGGTGTAACTGCCGATTGAAATGTTGCTGCGGCATCGTCGGAGGAACGCAGAAATAGAGAAAATACGTCACTGATTGCGGCAGCATCACAACATTATACTGATTTTTATTGTGTGGATTTCTGAGTAAATAGATTTGATTGTTGTGAAGATTTCGACTGTTTGTACTTATAATTTTGGCAGGAAAGTGTAGTAGCCAGAAGACTAGATTTAATGGAGTGTATGTTTTTACTACAGGTGAAACCTGTGCGCTGATTAAGCCGGTCTCGGATTTAACCGGCCAACCACAATCACTTTCAAGCGCAAACTTCAAATCCCTAAGGCTTTTGAAGGAAGCAAGCCCCAGTGCTATGCTACATATGAATAAGTAAATTTCCTTTTTCTATTGCAGTTGTCTTAGTTGCAAGCAGTGACGGCTGTCAGTGAATTGGTTAATTGCAAAATTTTTAGGGAGGTCGTCCAATTTTGGGGTTCTTTTGACGGGATTTATATGGTGACGGGATTTATATACGACGTATATATATTCACGTATACAGTGATTATTTCTCCAAATAACAATCTAGCGATGATTGCTTTTTTGCTTTATCTATCAAATATTCAAAAGTTGATATCTTGCGACGCAGAGCATTTAGCTCATCTGAAGTAAATACTTCGTCGGGAGATTGCTCTTGGTACAAAATAAGGCCTTTCAGGTGAGTCAGCGCTTCTATATTAGACATCGGTTTTACTACAACTTCATTCCCTTCATGATAATCAGTATCTGAGGGTACAGTCTCAGATAGCATTAGCCTTAACCATAGATACTATATCAAAGCTTCCGTAAGAATTGCTCCTTAGAAGTCATTTGGTCAATCCAAACGCTCATCGCTTCCTCTAATAAAGGAAATTTAACTCGACGATGTTTAAAAGCGGTTTTGGATCCTCCTTCAACATGAAGCCACTTATCTTTCTTATTAATTATCTTACTGATAGTTGTTCGGTCAACCATACTTTGCATTGAAATGAGCTGCAATTTCAGTTTGATTACGTAGCATGTTATCTTTTTGAAAAGCACAAATTTCACCTTTAAGCAAGTCACTGATAGACGTTCGCTTTCCTGCTTTCCTCGACATTTTTCTTTTTTTTAAAATGACGTGCCTGTTAAATACTGTCAATACGGTGTTACATTTCAAAATACAATACATGTTTACAATTTACTTTCTACTATCGGTTGACAATGAGTTATAGTTATCACGTTTATCCCATAAAGCATGTGATTGGTTTTTTTGCTAATGTGACTAAAGAGGGGGAATTTTACTATAACTGCTATGAAATCCGTCTCACGGACAGTGTGATAGTGACTATACTAATAAGCAGAATGTGCATATATAGGGTAAATTTACTATAAAATCGGTTGGTTCCAAGAAAAGTGTGACTATAAAGAGGTTGTGACTATATAGGAGTGTGCTTACGGGGATGACTGTAGTAGATTGGACCATATTTTCATGCATAATGTTAACCGGATAAAGAGGATGAACGTGACCTGATTCTTGCAATTATCAACCAATGAAATTGTAAAAAAACTAGCCTACCCGTATATTAGATGCCTTATTATAGCAGCGATTGACGTAATAGTTAGCCAATGGCAGTTTCAAGTCTATTTACGGGAAAGCCACATGATTCGAACAACTGACGACAGCAAAAGAATAATAGCGTTATAACAATTGCTCCGTACACAACAACTTTTCGACTTATCGACAACACTACTTACATCTCAATCCAAATAAGGACTGCTTTAAAAACATCTATATCTACATCCAACCAAAACCAACGCCAATTACTATAACTTCAATTTTCATAATTGGTCCTACCATAAGTCCAAATATACTACACATTCAAATTAATGCTCTAAAACTTTTACCACCAATACTCCCAAACACCGCAATGTTAGACTTACTTACAGACCAATATAAAGTTATCAACATGATTACCCAAAACCTTGGACCAATATCGACAAACAAATATCCCTATTTCTTTATAACTGGCTCTGCAGGAACTGGCAAAATCATACGTAATAAACATAATCACAAACTTGGCTGAAACAATCGCTGCCCAAAACATCGGTGGCTCTACCATACATTCAGCCCTACGCATTCATCAAACAGAAGCTGGATATCAAACATTAGCCTTTTATGACAGGCGAAATCTCGATGGTATCAGCCACACTTTTCACATTCATATCAAACCTATTTGCATCTATTCATGACAACGACCAAGCATTCGGTGGCATTAATGTCATTATAGTCGGCGACTTAGCACAGCTACCACCAGTACGCGGTCAACTTGTCTTTTATTCGTCTATCTGGCACTTATATTTGTCACAAAGCCAACTTTTATCAGATGTTAGAAGAAATTACATCTCCACGTGGCAACTATTTTATAACATCATTCCACACAAAACAACAGCCAATCAAATCAACCGCATCATCAACAACGCCAGTAGAAAATAACAAATCATGATTCATGAAGCAATAGACTACATCAACAACATACAACAACCAATCGAAATAACTCAATCCGATTTCAAAATTAGAACAAACTTACCGTCATCATTACGCATACAACAAGGTGCAGTTGTGACTTTTTATGATAAATATGGAGAAGCCATTGCCGAAGTTCATGAAAGTATTTTTATAAAAATAGGAGCAGAAAAACAAGATAATGTTATTCTTAACACTGTTATTACTACAGCTGCAGCAGTGCTTTTGCATTCTGTTCTAGAACAAAAATGCAAGAGTAATGTACTTAAATAGAAAAGAGTACAGTGAACCCTCTCTAATATCCACCCCGTTAATATCCACCTCTCTCTATTAGCAACAGTGTTACAGAACGGATTTTCCCATATATAAATTCCCCCGCATATATCAATTTGGATATCATACCCCGTTGATATCCCTATCAACACATATCAGATT